GGTGCGCCGAAGTTTGATCGAAATTTCGACCAAACTTCGGCTCACTCCCGGGCGGGCCAGTCGAAGTTTCCAGGCCTCATCGGCCGAAGTTTGGTCGAAGTTTGTAGTGGGTTTGCATCAGCATTTTGTGACACAAACAAAAAAAGGTATCTCTTCGGTCTTCGCATGTTTCGAAACATGTGCACAGCTCTGTGCAAGTGCCCTGAGTGAAGTGTTTGCATTGATCCACGGAGATCCACCCCTCTGCCAGTTCCTCGGCCAGCAACTCATCCACCAGAGCGGAATGGTCCAAAGCGGACTTCCAGGCAGAGTCACAATGCTGCAGAGGAATGACGTTGGAGTCAGGAGCAGCCGGCGGAGACATCACCGGACACGGGGGGATGACGGAGCCAATGCCCAGAGGCACCCCCTCACGCAACAACTTGAAATACGCAGTATCCGGATCACAGCAGACGTGGCAGAGACGATGCCACAGATTAAGCCTGAAGGGCTGACCCGGGTGGAGAAAAGAGCGCAAGTCGGAGAGGAAGGGCTGCAGCTGCTCTTCAGTCAGGGGTGCAGTGCGAGAGCTCGAGTTCAAGGAGGCAGCGATGCGGCTGGCCAGTCCACCCTGCAGCAAACGTTTGGACCAAGCTGAGCGAAGCGGTCCCAGAGAGTCGTGACCCGGCAGCAAGGAGACCCAGTCAGAAAGACAGGTAACTTCACCTGAGCCCGTGCTCTGAGAAATGAAGGGGGCAGCCTTTGCAGCCAGTGCCGAAGCAAGCTGTTCCGGGTAGCAGGCTGTGGTGCGCGTCAAAAACGACCCGTCTGAGGATCGCTTGTGCCTGCGGGCACACAGAACCCAATGACGCCAGACCCGGGTCATTTGACCTGGCAAGTGGCCACGGAAGTCAAGAAAGGAGCATGTGACCGGCACCAGGCAAGGATGGCAGGATCCAGCCAGAGCAGACTAGAGGATTTTCGACGCAGCAAACAGCGACATCTGGAATGTAACAAAGACGAGGACTCCAACTCCCGGGCTTGCGCCGGAGACGGAGAGGGGATGCCGCCAGGGTTCTGCAGAGTGGGCCACCCGGGCGCAGGCGCGCTCGCGAGAAGGAAGAAGAGGGAGGAGCCGCACCCGCCGCGCCGACCAAGCCAGATGCACAGAGGCGTTCCAAGGAACGAAAGGTGGGGTCGTGGAGTAAGTCCAGGGCCGACCCAGCCAACAGATGGACCCTTGGTGAAGAGCCGCCACGGCCACAGAAACCGGGGATGATGCACCCGAGAAGAGATCCAGAAACAGGCGGCGGCGGGCGGGACCGGCCGTGAGAGGCGCGGGCACGGGCTGTGGAGGCGGCTGACGGGCCGGGGTTAAGCTGGATGGCGCGTGACCTGATGGTGGGCACAATTGCGGCGGAGAAACCTCCGGTTCCCCCGGGCCGGGCTAGCAGAGGCAGGTCCCGACAGGGAGACGCATGCCGTGGAAACTCAGTGGGAGGCCTTCGCATGCTCCAGAGCCGTGTGTGGTTGACCGCACGGTTACCGGGCAGGCGTGCACAAACTTGCAGTCTTCCTTTGTACACTTCCCAACGGCATAACGCACGCAGGCTTCCTTACCGTTATAATCTGTTTATGCCACGTGGCATCGAACCCCTTCGGAGGAGGATTCGGAGTGGCTTTAGCTTTTGCGCCCGGACCGGACGGCCTTTGCCTTCCTTCTTCGGAGGCGGGGACTCAGCGTTGGCATCAGTCTGGCCTGCTTGAAGATGATGCTTACGGTCACCTTTTCCGCCCGGAGGACCGGGGGGAGGACGGGGCGGGCGCGGCCGGGGCTGGAGGAGAGTGGCCCTATCACCTCTGCAGAACGCCACCTCATTGAGGGAATCGGCGAGGCTCCAGCCAAAGTCACGGAGGAGCTCGGAGATAGTCGCCCATAGGGCCCTGTCAGCGTGGACCATCTCTTGGAGCGAGGGTGGGCGCAGAGATGCATCCATCGGAGGCGTCAGAGCCAGATGCAGAAAACGGTCATGGAACCGTTTGATCGTGGCCAAGTGAACGAAGTCCAGCATGGCCAACGCGGTGGCAAACAATGAGAGGCTCCACGGCCCTCAGCAGTTGGCGGTCATTGCGCGGGCGACGCGACTCCTCCCAGCGCAATGCGTCAGATTCGCAGGTGCGAAGGCGCCAAGGGACCCAGACCCAGATCGGCTGCGAAGTGTCATGGTGGCTCTTCAGAAGAGACAAAAAAATCCAGAGACGGCGTAGTCTCTGGAGTGAGTAGTTCCCCGGGATACTTGGCAAGGAAAATCTTGCGCAAGTGAAGAAGGTCCGGGGCTGCAATTTTGGACGGAGATCCAGACGGCGGGGGCGGGGCACTGGGAGCGGCCCCGGCTGCCACACGTAGCGGGGATGCAAACTGTGCCTCTATAAGGAGGCGACGAATGCACGCCGCGTCGGAAAACCCAGCAAGGTCTGCACAAACA